CTACTCATTATTTTCCTAATTCTCGCCCATCTCTCATAGATATAATCTCTGTCTCTCAACCTTCTCTCACTGTTTCGCATGGTCAAATGACTGCACCTTTCTCACACCATGACTTAATCTACCTCGCTTACAAATTGCGTCCTCCTAAGGTGAGAGGCAAGATTATACTTCAGCGCAACTTTAAGCATATGGATCTGGACCGCTTGAGAGAGGATGTTAGAAATATTGACTGGTCTCCGATACTGTCAACAAATAACATCGATAGCATGGTTGACTCTTTAACTGCTGAGCTGATTAGGTTGTATGACAAGCACGCTCCGGTCCGACCGGTACGAATGAAACACGCTCCCGCCCCATGGCTATCACCTGCGATCAAGAGGACTATGGCCAAGCGTGATAAGGCCAAATCTAAGAACAAAAAGCATCCATCTGCCGAGAATCTTGATGCATACAAAAAATTACGTAACATCTGCAACAGAATGTGTAGGGATGCCAAACGCCGTTATATTCACTCAACGATTCAGGATCTTTGTCAAGCGCAAGTTTGGAGATTCCTATTGTCACTGGGTGTGGGCAAGGCCGCAGAAACTTGTCAAAGTTCTGTGGATCTCAATGCTTTAAATTATAATTTTACCACTCCACCCATCACTCTAGATTCGCATACTAAGACTCAAACTCTTTCATTTTTATTAAACCTCGCCCCCCCTGACATACCACCATTCGTCTTTGAAACAGTCTCAGTAGATGATATAAAGAAGTGTGTCCGCTCTATTTCCACAAAAGCCATTGGTAGTGACGACCTCAGCCGCGACATGATTCTTCCGGTACTGGAAGATATTGCACCTGTGATCACTCACATTCTAAACTTCTCATTCACACGCAATGTCTTCCCGTCTTTATGGAAAAAAGCTTTCGTCATACCCCTACCTAAATCCCCGAATCCTAAGTATCTCACTCAATACCGTCCTATATCAATTCTTCCTATCCTATCCAAAGTCATAGAATCATTGGCACACAATCAACTTTACTCCTATCTATCTCACAATAACCTCTTATGTCCCTATCAATCCGGTTTCCGCTCCTCCCATAGTACAGTTGGTGCACTGCTGAATATCACAGAGGATATTCGTGGTGCTATGGATAAAACCAAGCTCACTGTGATGGTTTTACTTGATTTTAGCAGCGCTTTCAGCTCTGTGGATCTCGACATCCTTATGGGAACTCTTCGTGCGGTCAACATTTCTAGTACTGTTATAGACTGGTTTCACTCTTATCTCTTCGGACGCCAGCAGTGCGTGAAGACCAACGATGCATCATCGGATTGGCTAGATCTTACTGCTGGTGTACCTCAAGGCGGCGTACTTTCTCCCTTACTTTTTTCAATATTTATTAATAACATATCAAAAGTCATTTCTTCTCCCTTCCATCTGTATGCAGATGACTTACAATTATATCGACATTGTGAGCTGACCGAGTTACATGAAGCTATTGATGCATTGAACTCGGATCTTGTCCGGGTCCAAACGTGGGCAGAGTCCTTTGGCCTCCTTGTGAATCCCTGCAAGTCACAATCCATAATTTTTGGCAGTAGTCGACTGAGGTGCAAAATCGATTGGACCTCGACACCTACAGTCCAGTTCTCGGGTGTTCCAATCCCGTACTGTAATAAAGTAAAAAACTTGGGCTTAATTATGGATTGTAACATGACTTGGGCGGCTCATGTTAACGAGGTCAGCAAACGAATGCATTATACTCTTCACTCTCTCAAGCGTCTCCAATTCTTCCTCCCTTTCACAACCAAGATTATGCTTGCTCAGTCCCTTCTTCTCCCCATACTCGACTACGCTGATGTGTGCTATTTAGATGTGACTGAGGAGCAACTCAACAAATTAGAGCGTCTTCAAAATCTCGCTATTCGTTTTATTTTTGGCTTGCGTAAGCATGACCATATATCAAACTTTCGTGCTCAACTTAAATGGCTCCCAATCCGCCTTCGCCGTGATATGCATATCCTTTCATTCCTCTTCAATATTCTTAATGATCCCAATTCTCCTTCATACCTTCGTTCTCGCTTCCAAATTCTCTCTACTCCTACTCGTTCCAGGCGGCCTTGCATTACTGCGATGCTTGACATACCCAAGAGCAACACTAAGTTCTCTCTACAATCTTTTTCGGTGTATGCCGCATTGCTCTGGAACAAACTTCCGAAAGACATCCAATTAAGCCCCTCTATAACTGCCTTTAAAAAGAAAATAAAACAGCACTTTCTCACCCAAGTTATTCCACAATAATTATATTAACTACTATTATTATGCATTATATTATATAGATATGTATTTGTGTATGTAGTAGTATGTACATATATTTATGTATATAATATGTATAATGTTTTGTTATATGTATATATAATATATATTTATTTAAGTATTTACATTTGAGTTACTGCACTTTAGCCTGCATTTTAATACTATCTCTCTAACTCACTTAGGTTGACTGGAAGAGATCTCTTCTAGAGATAAGTCCACCTTTGCTAACTAATTTTGTTTGTTACTCTCTGTATTTTACATATAAGTGCAATAAAGAATAGTATATATGAACGGCTCACAATGTCACAAAATAAAATTAAAGCCAATGTAAGGAATATTTTTTAGTTTCAAAAATAATATAGCAATAGCTTAACTAAACTTATTGCATTTATATTTGCTTGCTAAAACAAAACGCCTTGAGAAAAATTTAACTAAATATTTGTGTATGTAATTGTATATGATAGAATTTATGTTTTGTTATTTATGATGTTTTATAAAAATGGTGAGTACTGAGTATGTCACTTGTATCAGCGAATATACATACATACTTCGTTTCAGAGAACCAACTTGATTTGGATGTTTTGGGATACCGTAGGTATCTATATGGTTTATGATAATGTTCATCTAAACAACATTAACAATAGGTTAATGTCGTTAACAATAGGTACAATAACAACGAAATTTTTGGTGAATGGTGACCGTACATTTTTTTTTTACAGAAATTGAATCCAATCACTGGGGTCAAGTAGGTATTCAATATTTTATTTGAAAAATGGTGGTGTTACAAAAATAAAATGAAATAATTATAAATTATTAGAATCTATACATATAATAAAATTTTAATTTAGTCGAATCTGTACGTTAAATATTTTTTTGGAAAATCTTATTGAAATAGTAATTACTCATTATTATCAATACCTACAGAGGTCGAATCTATAGGTTTTAGAATTTTTGTCTGTCTGAAAACCACTGTTGAAAACTACTGGACAGATTTTGATGAAATTTGGTATGATGATAGCTGGAATTCTCTGTGTCAAATTATAGGATAATTTTTACTGCGGGAAAATATCTCATTTCTGATAAATCTATACATATAATGAAATTGTAACTAAGCCAAATCTGTACACTAAATATTTTTTGGAAAATCTTATTGAAATAGACATTATTATCGATACAGAGGCCGAATCTATAGTTTTTAGAATTTTTGTCCGTCTGTCTGTTACCGCATCACGAAAACCACTGGACAGACTTTGATGAAATTTGGTATGATGATAGCTGGTTATCCAGATCAACATATAGGATACTTTATACTGCGGGAAAATATCTCATCTCTGAGAAATCTATACTAAACGTAAAAACGTATCTAGGGACGAACCCGAGCGAAGCGAGGGTGAGTCGCTAGTCTATACTAAATGTCAAAACGTAGGACGAACCCGAACGGAGCGAGGGTGAGTCTCTAGTTAATGAAATATTTTTATATAGTCTATGATTTTTGAAATGGTAACTAAAACTAGTATTGTAGTTATTTTTAGAATAAATTTAATATTCACAATCAAAATTAAAAAAAATATATATAGTGTAGTAAATTTAAATTACCCATTATATATTAATATTATGCAAGAGTCAGTTTATCTTCATTACTATTTTAGTTAAAAATATGAATATTTAAAGTATAATTTACTAAAACTACATTAGGTACCTACATATTACATATATGAATTATGAAAGCTCTATCTGTAAACATTACATTTTTCCAAAATGGCTTGGAATTGTGTTATCAGGCGCAAGACATTCTGTCAGTGTATCGTAATATTTTAAAATAATAATTAGGTACGCCTTTACAATCTTTACAAAACTTAACCTATTTTATTGACATTAAATTACATTTCCGCTTTACGAGCATAGACAATTAATAAATTACCTTTTTTCCGTTATTAGCAAAATATTTTCACCTGCCGTAGAAGCCACTGAAGAAAAGATTGAATTGAAATATTTTCATAGTGACCATCGTTATATTATCATAATATAAAACATTCTAAACAGTTTACAATGTCAAATAATTAATCAAATAACATGAAAAACTTCAAAAATCGTTATATAAACTAAAACACATGTACCTACCAACTATTCTTGTGGGTTTTTATAGTTAATATTCTTTAAAAATGTTTAGTTTGCTAGATTTATCAATGAATATTATCCATGTACCTATATATATTTTATAAAAATAATCATTATTAATATTCATTCTTAAGTTATATCTATTTAAAATTCAAAATCAAAATATACAACTGTGTAATACAAGTTGTCTACAATTGCAATTTTTTATTTTTTTTTACTTCATACAAGAATTTAACAGGCAATGAAAATATGTCATATGAAAAGTTAATTAAATATATATATAAAATAATATATTTTAGTTAAAATAAATCAAAAACGAACCTTAAAATTAGGTTTGGTAATTTTTTACACGATGTTTTGATATCTCCCGCCTTTTTCTTTCATAAATAAACCAATAGAGCGCTACACGTAGTGCCAACTTTTAGTAAGTTGCCAGAGTGATAGCTCGCCGCATTGTTGGCAGCAGTGTCGACTGTTGCAAATGGTAGATTGCGTTACTTTTTCTCGTGCTCCGTGTAAAATATTTACGTAAAATAGTGCAAATCTTGTGGTGCAGTGTTTCTGACTCACAGAAACATGTCGGAAACACTGCCGAATAACAAAAAACAACTTCAAAGGCAACTGGTGAGTGTTTATTGTTAGAATTTTACGTATTTAGACCCGGGTGACGCCATGGTGGCTTTATCTGGGATCACGTAAACATGAAATGGTGCATCGCTGCATCGTGTATCGATTTATGTAAGTTACAGGAGTGTTTTAGAAAATGTATTTTGATCATTTAATTTGAAAACGTTAATGCTTAGTGAGGGTCATCGGACTTAATTTTTTGTGATCACGCCGCCAGCAAGTTCAAAACGCGGCGGCCGTATGTATTCGCGCATGCGAGAAGGTGTCAAAATCTATAATAGTTTCGAAGATCACAGCATTGCGATGTAGCGGCGTTGACAATGAGCGATACGTAAATTGCGCACGGCAGCGACGTCGTGATCGGAGCATACCTAGTGGGCATCTGGTAGGGACGAAGACGTACACTCCCGCGGGCTGGCGGAGGGCAGGCGGTCAGGGGCGTGCGCGGTGCGACCACACGTCGAGTTCGCTCGTAATCTAGTTGATTACTTAAATAATCATATGTCGAACAATTATACGCTGACTGCGAGACGAATGTCCAAAACATTGTTTTACATTGATTACTATGAATACTAATCTAGAAGTTCTGCATAAGATTGAATTCTTTGTCGAATTGCGACTCGAGCAATCCTAACTCGAAAGTTTTTATTGTTATGCGATAGGTACGCAGCAGCTTATGCGGCTACTTATTATTGCTTATAGTTTTTCATTTGGCCTTGAAATTACTTAAAAAATGTAACCTACTTGATATAACAGAAACAATTATCATATATGTACTATATTTTTATTTAAAATAACACTTCTGTAAAAAACAGTTAAATACAAATTTACATTTCTCCTCACATTAAATTACATAGTACAGACTTTAGGGTGATATAACACAAGTTTAAAAAAAAGTACTTATATTCAATCAATTTATTATTTACACTCATAAATAGATATTATAATATATTGGTACTTCAATTTATATCAGCTTATAAAAAATTATATATTATGAACACATATTAATTAAATCTAGTATTATTTTAACTGTTATTTTCTCAACAGACGGGCTTAATTCCTTCATAATTTAGAAAGAAACTTAACTTAGACTAAACATACAAATGTTTAGTCTAGTTTCTTATTTATCAATTCAATAAACATTAGTATAATAAAAATATTTAAAAAAGAACAATAAAATAATTATTTATTTTGTCTATCTTTATATATATAATTCTTCTGTGAGTGTGTATGTCACTGAACTTCTCTCAAACTACTGGACTGATTTTGATGAAATTTTTTGTGTGTGTTCAAGGGGATCTGGGAATGGTTTAGATTCACAATTTGAATAATAATTTTCATCAAAATGTTTTAGCTTATTAAAAAAGTTTGAAATTTTCAAATTAAAGACGTGTAGACAGGACAACGTCTGTCGGGTCCGCTAGTACTCTATAATATTTAAAACAGACTCTATTAATTATAGTTTGTTTTTTTTCTTTATTGTGATTACAAATATCATTGATATTAAAACTTTTATTTTTTAACAGCGGGAACGCAAGCATCGTAAGCTTTACTCTGATGAGTGGGCTCTTGGAGACGATGAAGCTGAAGGTGGACGGGGTTTTTCCCTTGCTGATAAGCTGGAAAGCTCTCGCTTTGAACATGCAGGAGCTGTCTTGGAGATGGTTGGTTCAGATCTCACCGTATCATATTTGCAAAAGAATGGATTCACCACTCCATTACTTTTTAAAGAAAAAATTGGATTGGGGTTAAGGTAAGTTCGTCTTCAAATATTTAAAAAATGTTCCAGCCACAATTTGTTATGAAATGTGTTGTCACATATTACATAACATGCTATGAGTAAAATCTTTTGTCTTTTAGTTTCTAAATTAGATCTAATATTATTCTAAATTATTAATTAATTTATAGTAGTATTCTAAATTATTTGGTAAATATGTTTTAAAAAACATTGCTTTACTTGCACAGTAGTTCAAATAAAGGTGAACTAAACATACTGTTGCAAATGCTAATAGCATCAAGTCAAAATCATTGAAAGAAGTAAGTATACTGTCAGGACTTTATACAATGATTGGTTTATTTGAGTTACTATCTTCCTAATATTACAAATGTGAAAGTTTAGATGTGAGTTTGGATGTTTGTTACTCAATCACGTCTGAACAGGCTGAACGGATCTAGATAAATTTGGCACAGAGATAGATTATAGTCTGGAATAAGCATATAGGTTACTTTTTATTCCGGAAAAATGTACGGTTCCCGTGGGATCGATTTGTTTTTGTTTTTCTAAAGGCTAACCCGCGCAAAGCGAGGGTGATCCGCTAGTTGATTATTCTTTAGGCTCGCCATGAGAGGGAAAAAAGGATTGGATTGGCGTTTCGATTTTTGTAATGTAAACGGTTGTCACGGAAGTGAATAAATATTAAATAGTAGAGATGTACCGACTAGTGGCCGACTAGTCGGGAAAGTCGACTATCCGGCCATATTTATAGTCGGCGACTAGTCAGCCAGAAGCACCGACTAGTCGGCCCACTACTTTATTCATATTACTATTCTTAAAAAAGGGGGATTATTTTTATTATTAATGAATAATATTGTTTTCATCAAATTTCATTTTGTAATTTTGTAGGTACTGGGTAGGCACCGTCTGTAACAACTATATAATGCCTTTAAGACGTCTAAAACCATAGTCTCTCCCGTGACCATGATTGTTGTAAAGCATTCGAAATGTCGGGAACCAAAAATTAAAATAAATCTGCTACAAAATCCGAAAAGATACTTTAATAAAACTACCGATTTACTCTCGCTTCGCTCGAGTGCCTCACTAGGTATGGTTTTGTTTACAATTTCATGGGTTTTATTTTTTTGTGTGGAACCCAGATTGTTTTTCTTCAGTAAAAGTAATCTAAGTTCCTCCTTATAACATCAGCTATATGCCAGTGAAAGTCCCGTCAAAATCGATCCAGTAGTTTTTTTAGATATTATCCGGAACAAACAAACCTATGACAGACATTTTAACAATTGTTTTATTTTTATTAGAACCGTATATAATTTCTTATACATTTAGTAAAAAACTGTTATTTTGACATTAAAAACAGATGCTTTAATTTAATTTATCTGTTTATTAGATTTGAAATATTCGCGTGAATCTAAGAAAGTATGATATGACTTGATTTCAATTATATAGGTACTTTTACTATAATACAAACTGTTTTTGCTATACAATTCACTGACTGTTTTATTTTGCAAAAGAAAACCACAAATAACAAAATGAAAAATATTTTAAATAAAACACTGTGTGTAACAAGTATATGTGTGAGACATCTATAACCTCAGTCTCTCCCGTGACCATGATTGCTGTAAAGCATTCGAAGCGTCGCGTCGGGAACCAAAAATAAAAATAAATCCGAAAAGATTTAATTGTGTTAAAATTGATTTAAAATGTCAAATATTAGCGTGAATCTGAGCATTAAAATGAATAAAAACTTCTTAACAAAAAAATAAAACCGACTTCAAACAAAAGCACTAAAAAGTAAAAAATAACTGATTGGTAGTTTTCATTTACTATACATACCTAATCAAATATTTTCGAAGTCGGTGTGCTTTGCTTTGTATTGGCTGGCAATTTTTTTTTACATGTTTGTTTATAACCTACAAACTTTCCAAGTTTTTGTGGTTCCTACAAAGTTGATATAACCTGAAATTTACCTTATGGTGTTTTATATCCTATAGTTTTATGGTGCAATCAACACAACAATTGTTGAATATATAATGACACTTGAGGTTTCATGATAAAGACCATATGGTGTGTTTCTTTTTAACCAATTTTAAAATGAGTTATTATAGTATTTTTGCTATATTTTCGCAGGCTGTTGCGAGTTTTTATAATAATTTTTTTTTAAATATGCTTTACTATAAAAGGACTTATTTTATTTCGAACAAAAGACTCCTTTTTATAGTATATTTATTCGTGCAAGCTTGCATTTTTATTTTTGAATGTTATGTTAGGGCAACTTAAGAATGCACTGTGCATACCAAAAATTATTGCATGAGGTTTAGTCATATATGTATTATGTACGTACTTCTGGTTACGATCTATGTAATTGACTTAATACGTACCCATCTTAGGAAGCGTGCGAATGTGGACAATATTACGTGAGAAGTCTAACTATATTTGTATGAGAAGAATTTCATCTAATCACAGCATTTTAATATGAAATACTGGCTTTTTAGTTACGCTTTAAGAATCATACCTTATAATTGTGTCTTATACATAGTACGTCTCATTAGTATTATATATGTGAAAGTTTAGATGTTTGGATGGATGTTTGTTACTCAATCACGCGAGAACGGCTGAACGGATCTGGGTAAATTTTGGCATACTGATAGACAATGGGCTCCAGAGAGTGGACTACTTTTTATCCCGAAAAATATACGGTTCTCGCGGGATAGATTTGTTTTTGTTTTTCGCTAGTAGTACATAAAACAAAACTTAATGGTCAAATATAAAAATAAACTGGTAATTTGGCCCTTATTAAATTACGCTACATACAAGTATCCATAAAGGTATCTATGTGAAGAGTAAAAAACTTATATACTTATATAGTATAGTAGGTATTTATATTCCTCTATGGTCCATAAAGTATCTTTAAGCAAAACATCTCTTCGTTACACCGTTGTTACTTGTTACGTGAAAGAGGGATAATAAATACAACATAATGTGTATAGATATATGTACTTTCGCATTCATATCATATGACTACAATATCAAAAAGTTATAATCAATAACATACATTTGCTAAAACGACACGTTTCATAATCACACATTTATATTAATTATACAACCGTTGGTGGTAGAATTTTTTTTGAAAATATATGGGAACTTCCCTATAGTATAGTTAGGTCCTATTCATTAAAAAAAAACATTTCACAATAAGTAAGATATTGGTAATATGTATAAGATAATGTGAATTAAGTACTTCCTCTTTATTTGAGTCGGTCAAAAAGGTCTTTATTATCTTCTATTTATTTCTTTATAGCTTCTTTATATTAAGTAGTATTTATTTACATTTATTTTCAAAACTCTATATATATTTCTGTGTCTATGTGTTTGTATGAAAATATGAAATAAAAGTTATTAGTCTGAATCTAATCTACTTCAGATAAAGCAGGAAATGTCCCGATGTGCTTACAGTGTGTTTGTGTTGGGTGAATCATTTTCGATCACGTACGCCTAAAGACGCGCACTATGTGAATTACACCAATGTAAACTTTTCATCCGATGGTATTGTACAATACAGACAAAGGCCTTATATTATTGTCTTACAAAATATTATTAGAGATCGGGTCATACAAACTTTGTATGGCATTCATAATAGTAAAAACTTATAAAAATGTAAAACGCCTTCAAGGCACTAGAATGTGTGAAGTTTGTAGACAGGGCTAATTTAATTGTAATAATTATACTTTTAAAAATATGTGTCGACCGAATCAAGGCAAAAGAAATATATTTAAATGTATTTAACTAAATATCACAAATAGACGTACATATACTAATTTAATTTCGAATAAGGTCTTATATATTCATAATAGATATTATCTAAAATATGAATTTATTTCAGTTTGCCTAGTATTGGCTGGAAGCAGACTCCACAAAAATCTGATAAGTGATTAGATACTTTTTGTAAATAAAAAAACTCCGTTTAATTAATTTACACTTTTTAGGACCTTGAGGTTGATTTGTTTTTGTTATTGTAAGCATACTAAGAACGATTATGTAGGAAGAAACCTATATTATTTTATATAAATTGTAGCGACTCACCCTTGCTTCGCTCGGGTTCGTCCCTAGGTTGCTTCCCAATACAAACTTTTATAACCATTTTCGGACCCTTAAGGGATGATTCCCGGGATAAAAAGTATCCTATGACCTTACTACAACGTCACAAACTCACAAACTTTACCTCTTTATAATATTACTCGTAGTATAGATAGTAGGTATGTATATGAAAGCTATTAAAACGGCAAAATTATAATACTGCTTTTTTGCTATTAAGTAATGTGTGCTAAGTGCAATCTAATCCCACCACGTCCTTGACCTCAGGGATCAACCTTGTTTAGGAGATTGTTATAAGGAGTTTCCTGAATTATTCTTAAGGCATAATATATAACCACAGACTAAGGAATATATAGACAGTACCATAGAACTGAACATGAAATCAAACAATATTTTTTCTAAATTTGTATACAAATGCAACAATATAAAAAATATTCTGTGATATGTAAATAAAGGTAATAAATAAAAATAGTTAACGAATTTTTATGTATGGAGAAAAAATTTAAGTAAGCTAAATTTTATGCTATCTCTCGTTCCAGGTAGAACTAATGCATAAAAAATACAAAAGAATAATTATAGTATTATTTTTATTATTCATATTTTAATCTCAGAAATTGTATATTAATTTAACTAATACACATAATATACAATTTACTGAATGGAAAAATTGAGAATAGTAGCATAAACAGCAAATCACGCCACTATTTTTGACTTTGACATTTATTTAGGCGGACTTCGTCTATATTTGAGTATATGTATAACTTGGAGCTATTCTGAACCTAACGCATAAAGAAATAATTAAAATCAGTTATTAAACGAATAAGTTATGTCCACAATTTCCTTAAAAAATATATTCTAAGAAAACAAATTGAGAACTCCTCGTTTTTTATTTAATTAAGAATTATGTAATGTTTCTCTATCGGGTA